CCCCCCCCCCCCCCCCCCCGCAACGTGGTTCACGGCAGTGGGGGGCGCTCAGCAGCCCTGCCTGCCCTCCCCAGCACCCCTGTTCAGTATTCCTGGGACTGCTCCGGCCACCCCCGCCTGGGCGCCAAGGTGAGCCCTGATGGAACTGCTCTGTGTGGGAGACAAATGCCAGCAGCCCCAGGGACCCAGGCCTCCCGTGACCACCCCCACCTCTCACGGCTCAGGGAGGGAAGGTGGAGAGACGGGACCTCAGGCCAGCTGCCCTGAGGGGGAGCCCCCTGCTCAGCCCAAAGACACATCCCGACCTCCACCCCACTGGCTCTTCTCAGAGGCTCCAGGTTTTCTTCCTCCTCGCCCCCTGCCCCCAAAGCAGCTTCAGAGCCCCCACCCCGGTGGCGTTCCGCCTGGCCCAGGGCCCGGGCTCCCGGTCCCCTGGGGTGGACCAGCTGCTCCTGTTTACCGCACTCTGACAATCGCGCTCTGTGGCCTGGAACACCCCACTGTGTGTCCGCACCCCACACTCGCCCCAGCCCGTGCCAGCCTCCACCCCCTCCCAGGGCTAGCTGGAGAGGCACCACGGGCAGCCACGGGGCTGGGGACGGGCACAGAGTGAGGGTGGCTGCATGCGAGTGGCGACGCAGGAGCGCGGGGTCGCGGCCGCGGTGCCAGCCCCACCCACACCCGCCCTGCCACCGGGCACCTCCACCACGTAACTGCAGCAACAGGCCGCGGCTACCTCCTCATTGCTATAGCAACAGCCGCGCAGGAGCTGCTGGGAGGAGGGAGGCCTGCTTGGCGGGCGGGCGGGCGGCCAGAGGGGCATCTGGTTACAGGCAGGCAGTGCAGGTTAGGCCCCACCTGGGAGCCCCACCTGGGCACCCCACCCGCGGCCGGCAAGGTGGTTAAACCCCAGTCCCTTGAGACTAGCCCAGTGCCCCCATGGTGTTGCCGGGGCCTGGGTGCCCACTCTGGGCCTGAGCCACCTCCTGCTGTGTCAAGGGGAGAACAGAGGAGACCCGAACGGAGCGGCCTGACCCTGACCCCAGGGGTGAGGCTACAGCTGTCCCTACAGCAGGGCAGACCCGTCCCAGCTAAGAGGCGATAGGCGACACTCAGATGGAGAAACCAAGGCACAGAGATGCGAAGAGTGAAAGAGTGGGGTACAGAGGGCCTTGGTCCCTTCCCTCCGAACCAAGCCCTCCCCCAGAGAAGCGCATAGAACGCAGAGCAGAACCTCTGTTGGCCAAGCCCGCAGGTCCAACTCCAAAGCCCAAAACCTCCCCAGGAAAGTGGGGGGCCAGGAGGAGTGGGCCAGGCACTTGGCCAGCCCCTGCCCCAGCCCCGCGGCGCAAGCCCAGCAAGGCCTTAGCCACCCTGGAGGAGGAATTTCTGATTTGCTGTGGCCTCAGGCCGAGGACCTCCATGTGGCCCAACCAGTCCCTGGTGGTGCCGCTGGGCAGGGGACAGGAAGACTCTAGGGAAGGCCCAACCTAGCAGGTGGGGGCCACTCCCGGGTATCTGGCAGAAGGCACCTCCCAGCTGCTTGCCAGGTGCCCCACAAGCTGCTGCTCCCTTCCCTGAGCCTTGAGGTCTCCAGTGGATACAGGGACCATCATTCTAGGCTCTGTTCCCAGCCCCTGGGGGCCCTTCCTGCTGAGAACCCTGGGGATAATGCTAATGCCCACATCCCAGTCTCCCTTCCTCCCCTGAGCCCTGCCCTGGTGCCCCTAGTAAACCCAACTCTGAAGCAGGGGAAGGTGCACCAGAGGCTGCAGGCCTGACCCATGGGACCCGGTGCCAGCCAGCCCCAGGCACGTGGGCAGGGAGTGTACTCAACCCCGGCTCCCTGCCAGGCTCAGGTGCCCAGGGCACTCCTGCCAGCCATGGTGATGATGGCCACCCCACCCTGCCTGCAGCCCTGGGCTTCTGATTATGCACTCCAGAGCCCTTCTCAAGGAGGCACCCATGCAGAGGCTCATCAGCCCCACCGGGCTCAGAGTCAGGTGGGAGAGGAGCCTCTTGGGCCCCAGGTGGGCAAGGGGATGCCTCCTCCTCGGGCCCCCACTCTGGACCCCAGCCTGCTCTGGGCCTCACTGTGGAAAATCCCCAGGGCCCATTCAGAAACCAGAGCTGCCCAGGCCTCTCTGGTGCATGTGCTGCTGTCGGCTGGGCAGGACAACAGGAGATGGCCCTGCCCTTCCCGGGGCAAGAGCAGTGAGGGCCGGCGTGATGGTACCCATTCTGCCCCAGGCTGGCTCCTCACCAGGGCCTCTGCCCCTGACAGCTGCTGTGTCCTGTACCCTCAGGCCCCTGGCCACCCCAGGCACGGGCGGACAGCTGGGGTGCTTGGAGGTCACATCTCCAAATAGCAGGATCCGGCTCCCAAAGGAAGCTGGGGCTGGGGAGACCAGAAGGCGGATCGGCCTCAGGGAGGACTGCCCCAAAGGACAAAAGGGTGCAGGGCTGCAGGCTGGCCGATGCTGCCACAGCAAGGACATTCCCATTGGTAAGAAGGCAGGAGCACAGGCTAAGGGACTTTCGGGAAGGGTGAAAAAGAGGAGGAGGAAGAGGAGGAGGAGGAGGAAGAGAGGTGTCTGCCCAAGGGCAGAGGGGTGGTGCAGGGAGGGAAGGGGCAGGGTCCCTGCAGGGACTCCAGGG